AAAAAAAGGGAATGTATTGATTACTCTCTCTATTAAAAAATAATAAACATTTTTTTAAAGAAAATTATCTTCAAATTAAGAACTATGATTTTGAAGACAATTTCTATTGTTTAAAAAAAAGTTTAAATAAAAATACAAATTTTATTAGTTTTTATATTTAAAAATATAATTTTTTGGGTTTCTAAGTCAATCAATAAAATTTAACATTTACTTCGTCTGTCCCATAATAATATTTTTTTTAATTTTGAATTTATTTCAAAATAATAATCATTTTCTGCTATTTTAAGGGAGACATTTTTTGCCTCCTTTAACTTATTGATCATATGATTAAAATAGTTATTTTCTTATATAGTTATTTATTTTAATTTATTTTTTTAAGCATAATATAAGTTAAAATAGAAATTATCTCTAAATTCTTAATTTGGAGATGAAATAAAAAAAATAAATTATTTTGTCATTTTTCTATTTAAGAGTATGGATTTTGTCATATTTCGATTAAAATTGCTATTTATTACATTATCATTGCTATTTATTACATTATCATTACTATTTATAAATTATTAAAAAGAAAAAACATAAAATTTATATCTTATTTAGAAAAGAAAATGTTTATAGTTTGATTTATAAAAATTGAAAAGTTTGTATCATTAATTAGAAAATTTTGGCGAATTTTGTATCTTTATTTACATTTTTTTTTATCTATTTTACTATTAAAAAAGAAATAAATTTTATAATAGGGCAAATAATTTAAATTAAGAGATAATTATAAGATTTAAATTGAAAAAAATATTTATTTCTCTTAAAATATGAGAAGACAACTATTATTTTGTAATAAATTTTAAATTAAAATATATTTATTATTCTATAATAAAGAAAGAGACTTTTTTATATTAATTGATATTAAAAAAAATAAAAATTAGTAGTTAATTTATTAATTTTTTTAATTAACATAATTTATATTAATTATATTATACTCACTAGGGGTGGCTATGGTTTGGTTTCGATTGCAATTGAAATTGAATTATTCGTTAATTAAAATTTCAGGTTTTTATTTTTAGTAACCATTAATCAAACTAAAAAACATAGATTTTATCAGTTTTA